CGGCGTGGGGGAGGGGAGTCTCCTTGCTGCAGCAAGCAGCAGCAGCAAAGCCAAGAAAAACCCGTCTCCTGTTGCGCAGCTGCTGATTGATATGGAGAAGGAGCAGCAGCAGGGGCCCTACCAGCAGCCTGCTGTTGACGTCGAGTGTGTTGCTGACAAAATCATCGAAGAATGCGAGGTGCTGCTGCTGCTGCTGCTGCTGCTGCTGCTGCAGTTGGAGCTGGCGCAGCAACTGCTGCGGCTCGTCCTGTGCGCGCCGCCACGACCGATGCTGCTGCTGCTGCTGCTGTTCCTTGCTTCGGCGCCTACAGCTCTCTCCTGCTGCCCTGCCGCTGTTGCTGCTGCTGCTACTCTAGCTGCTTTAGCTGCTTTGCTGCTGCAGCAATTGCTGCCTCTGCGTCCCCCGCTCTCTGCTGCTCCTCTGCTGCTGCTAAAGCTGCTTTTACTGCTGCTGCATCAGTTCCTCGCCTTTTCGCGTGCCGTTTTCTCCACCCGCCACCTCTGCCGCTGCTGCTGCTGCTGCTGCTGCTGCTGCTGCTGCAGTTCGTGGAGCACGGGCGTTTGTCCTTTCCGGAGTTCAAGACTTGGTTAGAACACCATCCCGGAATTCTTTCCATGTTCACCGCCTGTCTCCACGAAGAGGTCTGGGGGCTGCAGGGCAACGCCCTCTACAGGTCTTCAGCCAACAGGTGCTGCTGCTGCTGCTGCTGCTGCTGCTGCATAGGGAAGTAGGATTTGTTGTTTATTATGTTCTAGGGCCTAAAGGGATTTAGCTGAAAATGAGAAAAGCAGAGAAATGAGTTGGGGGATAACTGCGGATCTCAAAGGCGTCGGCAGACCCGGGAAATCCGCGCTGCTGCTGTTGCTGTTGCTGCTGCTGCTGCTGCTGCTGCCGCTGCTGCTGGCATTGATTATAGTGGCGATGCGTGAATGCGCACTTGCGCCTCTTAGTGGCGTTCCTGCTGCTGCTGCTGCTGCTGCTGCTGCAGGGGGAGCAAAGGCATACTGAAGACAGGCTCTGGAGAGTTCAAAGACGCAAAAGGGATGAGGAATGCAGAAATCAGACAAGACCAATTTCAGAAGGTGCTGCTGCTGCATTTGCTGCTGCTGCTGCAGCTGCAGCTGTGTTTGCTGCTGCTGCTGCTGCTGCTGCATCCGTTCCTGCGATTCTTGCTGCCGCTGCCTCTGCACAATGCAGCTCTCCCCTCGCTGCAGCTGCTGCTTGTCCTTGTTGCGGCAGCAACGAGGGCTCTTTTGTTTGCTGCTGCAGCATGCACTGTTGCTGTTGCTGCTGCTGCTGCTGCTGCACAATCCGCTACGAGCGCCGTTGGTGCAGCTGCTATGTGCTGCTGTGGTGGCGCCCACCCGTATGCACACGCCGCCTCCTATGCTGCTGCTGCTGCTGCTGCTGCTGCTGCTGCTGCTGCAGGTCCGGCGTCTCTTCACGGGGCACCACGGAGGAGTGTCTCTCCAGTCGCGCATTTTGTCTCCTGCAAACAGAGACACGGGCTTCGTTCGTCAGAGGCCCTCATTTGCTGCGCTGGGGGCCCCCCTAGCAGCAGCAGCAGCTGCTGCTGCTGCTGCGCCCACTGCAGCAGCGCTGCCGAGTTCTGCGGGCACTGCAACTCCTCAGGCGGATCCAGCTGCTGCTGCTGCTGGAGTCCCGACACCTGCTGCTGCTGGGTCGCTGAAAGCCGCAGCTGCCGCCGCAGCAGCAGCAGCAGCCGCAGCGGGGGTGGCGGCAGCAACAGCAGCCGCACTGTCTCCAGCTAAAAGTCTTGTAGATGAAGCTCAGTCACAGCAGCAGCAGCAACAGCAGCAAGAAGCAGCAGCAGCAGCAACAGCGGCGACTGCTGCTGCTGCAGTCCAGCAGATCGCCGTCGCACCCGCCTCTGGCAAGCAGGCGGAGCCACCTCAAGCAGCAGCAGCAGCAGCAGCAGCAGCAGCCGGCACGCCTGCCCAAGTGCAGCAGCAGAAGGCCGCCGAGGGAACGAACTCCTCAGGAGCGGCACCAGCTGCTGCTGCAGCAACTACCTCAGCAGCAGCAGCAGCAGCAGCAGCAGCAGCAGCTGCAGCACCTGGAGGGCCTCAGATTATTTCTCTCCCTTCTGTTTCTCGTGCTGCTGCACCCGGGGCTAAGATGGGCGAGCGCAGCTGCCTTGCTGCTGTCCCTGCAGCAGCAGCAGCAGCAGCAGGAGCGCCCGGAGCTGCCACAACGCCTGCTGCACTGACACCGCCAGGAGCAGCAGCACTGACGCCTGCGTCGGCAGCAGAGACGGCTGCGGACAGCAGCAGCAGCGGCAGCAGCAGCAGCAGCAGCAGACATTCCCGCGCGCCTGCTGCTAAGGGCTGCGACTTCGACAGATCTCTGCGGCCGGATCTGGACGTGCATTTGCTGCTGAAGGGGCAGCCGACGCCGCTGCACCCTCGGCAGCAGCACCAGCAGCAGCAGCAGCAGCTGCTGCTGAAGCAGCAGCAGCAGCAGCTGCTGCTGCAGCAAGGGGACGGCGAGGTGGAGAGCCCCGCATATGTCTCCGACTGTGGGGCCGAGCTGGGGGCCCTTTCTTCTGTTGCTTCTTTGTCGGGGACTTTGGGGTCTCTAATTCGGGAGCATGCAGCAAAGGAAGCGAGCGCAGCAGCAGCAGCAGCAGCAGCAGCAGCAGGCGAGCAGGACCTGCATTCGTGTCCCAACTGCCACCGGCCGCTGCTGCTGTGTCCGTACTGCCTCGGCAGGTCGCTGCAGCTCAATTTGCTTCAGGGGAAGGTGGTGATTCAGTGCAGCAACTGCTGCAGCCAGGCGGAGGCAGCAGCAGCAGCAGCGGCAGCAGCAGCAGCAGCCGCGACGACAGCAGCATCCCTGCCGCCGGCGGGGGCGGCCCCTGCGGACGCTGCAGCGGCGGCTGCCGCTGCAGCAGCAGCAGCGTCTGCTGCTGCCGAGGGGTCCCTGCCGGACGCTGCAGAAACCGCAGCAGCAGCAGCAGCAGCAGCAGCAGCAGCGGAGTCCCCCTGCGCTGCTGCGAGCGGCCCGAGCGCCTGCGGCAGCACGGCGCCGCCGCCGACGCCGCCGTGCGCGCCGCCCGCAGCAGCCAGCAGCAGCAGCAGCAGCAGCAGCAGCAGCAGCAGCAGCAGCAGGCGGGGGGTCTATACGCACTGCTGGGAGTGCAACTGGGACTTCAGCCGCAGCGTGGAACTTCTTGCTGCTGGCGAAGCAGCACTGGATGGCATTTTGCTGAAAAAGGGAAAACATTTGCACCAGTGGCAGGCCAGGTTTTATGTCCTCATCGACAACATGCTTTACTACTACAAGAAAAAGGTCTGCTGCTGCTGCTGCTGCTGCTGCTGCTGCTGCTGCTGCTGCTGTGTTTGCTGCGGTTGCTGCGGCTGCTGCTGTGTCTGCTGCTGTTCCTGCGGCTGCTGTGTCTGCTTTTGTTGTTGCTGCTGCTGCGGCTGCTGCTGCTGCTGCTGGGCTTTGCGGTGGTCGGGGGCTTAGGGTTTAGGGTTTAGGGTTTGGCGTTTCAGGGGGACGCGAAGCCGCGGGGGTTTATGTTTTTGGAGGGCTGCTTCGTGGAGACTGTCTCCGAAGCAAATGCGCTGCGGCCCTACGGCATTGCCATTGTCCACCCCAGAGGAGACACTGTGGCCCGCAGGATCTTGTACGCCCAGTCGGCCAAGGTCAGCTGCTGCTGCTGCTGCTGCTGCTGCTGCTGCTGCTGCGGGGGGTGTTGGGGGTGTCGCCGCTGCCGTGGGGGCGTCGGCGGGGCGGTGTCAGTTGATCTGCTGCGCCTGCAGCAGCAGCAGCTGCTGCTGCCGCTGCTGATATGGCTTCTGCTGCTGCTGCTGCTGTAGCTGCTGCTGCTGCTGTGGCTGCTGCTGCTGCGCTGCTCAGGAGCAGCAAGAGTGGGTGGATGCGCTGCGGGCCTCAACTCGGCAGCAGTCCCTCGAGCATGTTTATGAGATCCACGAGCAGCTGGGCCAAGGTCAGTTTGTGTCTCCTTTTTGATCCTTTTTTGTCTCCTCTTTAATCCTTTTTTGTCTCCCTTTTAACCCCTTTTTGTCTGCTTTTCAGTCCCTTTTTGTCTGCTTGTTTGTGGCATTTTTTCTCCGTTTTCCGATCCCTTTTTGTCGCTTTTTTTGTCTCTTTTTGTCTCCTTTTTGTTTCTTTTTGTGTCTGTTTTTGTCCCCTTGTGCCTCTGCTCACGCCTTCTCCTCTTCACTGGGCCATGAACAGCTAGCTAGCTAGTTGGCTAGCTAGCTAGCTGGCCAGCTAGCTAGCTGTCTGGCTAGCTAGCCAGCTAGCTAGCCAACTGTCTGGCTCGTTAGTTAGCTAGCTAGCTAGCGAACTACCCCGTGCTGGCCCCACCCAGCTAGCTGCCACCCAACCAGCCAGCCAGCCAGCTAGCCAGCTAGCTAGCTAGCTAGCTCTCCAGCTAGCTAGCTAGCCAGCCAGCTAGCTAGCTAGCTGGGTGGCCGGGGAGCGCGGCAGCTAGCTAGCTAGCTAGCTAGCTAGCTGCGGGCTTGTGTGGTCAGGGAAGTTCAGCGTGGTGTACCGGGGAGTGCACAAAAAGACGAAAGAACAAGTGGCAATAAAAGTAATTGAAAAAGGAAAAATAAATCGCCACGAAAGAGAACTTCTCCGCAGCGAAATGGTCATTCTCAGGCTCCTCAACCACCCCAACGTCATCCGCCTCAAGGCAATCTGCTGCTGCTGCTGTTGCTGCTGCTGCTGCTGCTGCTGCTGCTGAGGGTGATGACGATGATGCTGATGGGCTGCGGGGTTGCTGCTGATGCGGCTGGGGTGCTGCGCCGGGGCTGCTGCTTTGGTGTTCAGGCTTTGCTGCTGCTGCTGCTGCTGCTTTGCTGCTGCTGCTGCTGCTGCTGTGATTGTGGGGGGCGTCTTGGTGTCTCCTTGTGGCTGCAGGAGATGGTGGACACAAAGGAGACACTTTACATCGTCATGGAGTTGGTCCGCGGCGGAGAACTTTTCGACTTAATCCATGCCAACCACCACCTCCCAGAAGTCCACGTCAACAGGTCTGCTGCTGCTGCTGCTGCTGCTGCTGC